GTGTTATAATAGGTACAAATATACGTACACAAATACAAAAGCTATACATAGGTTAACACCCTCCCTCAATCTTAACCACTTTCTAAAGAACTGGGAAGGGTAAGATTGCGCGTACAAGCCTCGAACTGTGGTAAAGACAAAGGCTTAGTGAAGATGTCTGCAAGTTGATCTTTTGAAGAGATGAACTTGATCTGAAGTTGCTTCTGTGACACACGTTCCCGTACAAAGTGATAGTCCACTTCAATATGTTTCGTTCAGGCATGAAATACCGGATTAGCAGAAAGGTATGGAGCACCGATGTTGTCACACCAAAGGATAGGAGGCTGTGGTTGAGACATACCCAACTCCTGAAGCAAAGACTGCACCCAAATAATCTCTAAAGTAGCATTAGCCACAGCCTTATACTCAGCTTCAGTACTACTACGTGATACAGTAGCCTGTTTCCGAGCACTCCAGGCGATCAAGTTAGAGCCAAAGAACACAGCATAGCCCCCCGTGGATCGCCTGTCATCCGGGCTGCCAGCCCAGTCCGCATCAGAGTAGGCCGAAAGAACCCGAGAGGAAGACGGCCGAATATGCATCCCAAAAGACACTGTGAATTGGACATAACGCAGGATGCACTTAACAACCGCCCAATGAGTGTCACGGTGAGCCTGAAGATACTGACAAACCCTATTGACAGCATAAGAAATATCTGGTCGCGTAATCGTCAAGTACTGAAGCCCACCAACAATACTCCTGTACTCTGTAGCATCTGCAGAAGACAGAAGCGCACCATCAACAGCAATGAGCTTCTCGGTAGATGACATGGGTGTGGTAGTCGGTTTGCACTTAAGCATCCCAGCTCGCTGCAACAAATCCAATGAGTACTTCTTTTGTGTCATAACAAGACCATCAACACGAGAGGTAACCTCAACCCCAAGAAAGTAGTGAAGCTTCCCAAGATCTTTGACATCAAAAGCAGCACCAAGAGAGCGAACAAGAGCATCAGCAGCATACCGAGAGGAACTGACAAGAATAATATCATCCACATAGACCAAAAGATACATAGTGACCTCTGGCTTCTGTAGAAGAAATAATGAGGAGTCAGCATTGGACGACACAAACCCATGAGCACGAAGAGCTGAGGCAAGACGAGCAAGCCAGGCACGAGGAGCTTGCTTCAGGCCATAGAGCACTTTGGTGAGACGGCAGATGTGATCAGGACGATTAGGATCAGAGAAACCAGGCGGCTGTCGCATATAAACCTCTTCCTCCAAGAACCCATGAAGAAAGGCATTCTGCACATCAAGTTGACGAAGAGACCAACCGTGAGTGACAGCAAGAGAAAGAAGAAGCCGAATGGTGGTAGGCTTGACAACGGGACTGAAGGTGTCCTCGTAATCAAGACCATAGCGCTGCCGAAATCCTCTGGCGACAAGGCGCGCTTTATAATGCTCAATAGATCCATCCGAATGCTTCTTAACTTTGAACACCCACTTGCAGTCAATAACATTAACCCGTGGTGGGGGAGGAACAAGAGTCCATGTCTCGTTGCGAAGAAGAGCATGATACTCCTCCTCCATAGCCTCTCGCCAATGAGGAACACGCATGGCGGCCTGATACGAGCGGGGCTCAGAAGACGGATCCGCAACAGCAGCAGCCAGACATGCTGCCAACCAAGCAACAGTACCATCCGTACGCTCCTTTGGTCAAAAAATGCCACTGCAACTGCGTGTATGTGGACGTAACACAGGAGCCGTCAAGGTCGAAGAAGCAGCCGGCGAAGAGCTGGGCGACGAAGAGGCAGACGATGGAACCAGGTCCTCCGTCATGACAGCCGGCTCAGGGGATCCAGAACCCGCCAGTGGACTACCCAGCAGAGTCACAGGCGAGGCCGGTGGAGCAGACCGAGCCATGGGCGAGTCTGGCGTAGTGGGTCGAGCTGCAGGCGAGGCCGGCGTAGCGGGCCGATCCGCTGGAGACGCGGGCGAGGCCGGCGGAGCGGGCTGATCCGCTGGAGACATGGGCGAGGCCGGCGTAGCGGGCCGAGCCGCGGAAGACGCAGGCGCCCGAGGCCGATCAAAGGATGAGGCCGAGGCCTCAGATGCATCCACCGAGCGTGCATGGGCACACGGATCGAGGCCATGCAACGTCGCTGCGTGATCGGCGTGCACAGCAGAGGGCGGCGGCGATGATGATGGGGAGTCCTCCAAAAGCTCCAAACGAGCCCCACGTCCGATTCCTGCAGCATGGTTAGGCAATAACACATGAGAGTATGCAACATCATCAATTTGGTCAGAGGCAAGAGATGATGAATGCATGGACGGAGGAGCATCTGTGGACACAGTTAGATTGGCAAACGGAAAGACATGCTCATCAAACACCACATCCCGAGAGATGTAAACACGATTAGTGGGAACATGAAGACATTTGTAACCTTTATGAAGGGAACTATAGCCAAGAAAGACACACTTTTTGGACCTAAATTCCAGCTTGCGTTTATTATAAGGGCGAAGGTGCGGCCAGCAAGCACACCCAAAAACTTTAAAGAAAGTATAGTTGGGTTGTTCATTAAGGAGAAGTTCAAGGGGAGTCTTCATGTTGAGAACACGTGTGGGAGTACGGTTGATAAGAAAACAAGCAGTGGTAAAAGCATCACTCCAAAACCGGAAAGGAACCGATGCATGGGCCAAAAGAGTGAGACCAGTCTCAACAATATGACGATGCTTACGCTCGACGGAACCATTCTGCTGATGAGTATGTGGACATGCTAAACGATGAGCAATCCCAAGCGACTGGAAGAAGGAGTTGAGGTTGCGATACTCGCCACCCCTGTCCGACTGAACATGAACAATTTTATGCTTGAGAAGACGTTCAACATGTTTTTGAAACTGAACGACAATATCAAACGCATCAGATTTACGCTTAATAAGATAGATAGAGCCAAGTAAAACGACTGTAAGCATCCACAAAACTAATATAATAGTTATGACCACTGACAGAAGTTTGGGCAGGGCCCCATACATCCGAAAAAGCAAGTTCTAAAAGATGTTTCACCTCACGGCTAGACTCCAAAAAAGGAAGTTGATGACTCTTCCCCTGCTGACAAGCATCACACACTGCTACATCATTATTGCTAGAGACACTAGGAAGCTCATGACGACGCAAAACATGATGCATGATAGGTGTGGCAGGATGACCAAGACGAGCATGCCACTGTGACGACGAGACAGGAACTCCACTGAAAACCCGAGAGACTCCAGGATGCTCCAGACGGTAAAGGCCCTGGTAGAGACGCCCACTAAGCAGAACGGCCCTCGTGTCCCGATCCTTAATAAAAAGATCAAACGGGTGAAATTCACAAAACACATTATTGTCATAAGTGAGTTTAGGAACGGAAAGGAGATTACGCGTCACGGATGGTACTCTAAGAACATCACGAAGTTGAAGCCTCCTAGTGGCATGACTAGTGAGAAGAGATGCTTGACCAATATGGGAGATGTGCATACCTGCTCCGTTGGCAGTGTGGATCTTATCGGAACCATGATAGGGCTCGCGAGGATGAAGCTTCCCCATCTCATTCGTCAGATGCTCCGTCGCACCAGAGTCCATGTACCAGTGCGGATCAACGGAGTAGGACTGAGTATGGCCCTGAGGCTTCTGCGGTGCCGGGCGATCAGCCATAGCCACCTGACGCGCAGTGTTGCGCGTATCCTTGCCGTCATTGCCGAGACCAAGGAAACTCTTCTGAAAACGACGATGACACTTGGAGGCCCAATGTCCGTCAAGACCACAGAGCTGACAGACCCGCCGACCCCCATCACCTGGTAGCGTCAGAGTGGGGGTGGACGAGGCTGGAGGAAGCGGCGCGGGCCCCTTGCCCGAGGCGGAGGACGGGGCGCCACCGGAGGGGCGACCACCTCGGTAGGCCGCGTTGGCGGAGGAGGAGCCGCGACTGCGGTTGGCACGGCGCGCCTCAACGCGCTGCTCAGTAAGAAGAAGCCGAGAGTAGAGCTCGTGCGCCATCATGGGGGTCATGTTGCCGCGCTCATTGACGATCTCAACTAAGCCATCATACTCTTCGTCGAGGCCGTTGACAATGAAGGAGTTGAACTCAGAATCATTAAGCGGCTGTCCAATGGATGCCAATGTGTCAGCAAGAGCCTTGACCTTGTTGTAGAACTCCGTTGCCGTGGAATCAAGCTTCTCACAGGCACCAAGCTCGCGACGGAGAGCACTGATCCGGGCTTGCGACTGGGACGCAAAGGAGCGCTTCAGGATGGTCCAAGCCTCATGGGAGGTCTTCGCGAAGACGATGAGTCCAGCAACCGCCGGAGTGAGCGAACCCTGGATGGAGGAGAGGTTCGCCTGGTCCTGCCCTGTCCAGACACGGTGTGCCGGGTTGTAAACCGGGCCGTTCGCGCTGTCCACCAGCGCAGGAGGGCAAGGAAAAGTGCCGTCGACGTAGCCAAGCAAGTAGTGGCTCCCAAGGAGCGGAAGAACCTGCGCACACCAGAAGATATAATTGTCGGACGAGAGCTTGACGGTGATGAGGTTGCCGAAGTGGAACGGTGGAGGCAACGATCCCGTGGAGGCACCTGCCGGAGGCGCGGACCCATGGGGGCAGGGGCAGGCGGCGCGGGCGGGACTGCGGGATTGGAACCCGCGAGCGGCGGCGGCGAGTATGGCCCGTAGAGGGAGGCAACCGGCACTGCCGGGGTGAATCCCGCCTGGGGCGCGGATGGCATGAGGCCCGCCGTGACAGCCGACGAGGTGGCCTCGGGCGCGAAAGCCAGAGGCGCGATGACGCCGGACGACGAGGCGGATGAAGAGGCAGTCGACGGATGGACCGTCAGCGCAAGCCCCGGCGATGGAGGAGCCGGAGAGTTGTTGGAGAAAAACGAGCCAACGCTCCTGGTCCCGAGCTGCGGCGGCCGCATCGTGGCCGAGTCAAGCGGGAGCGAGAGGAGGGCGGCGAGCGAGGCCGGGAGAAACCCGGCAGAGGAGGAGCTGGAGGCGGCGGCACCCGTCATGGCGGCGGCGGCGCGATCTGGTGGCGGCGGCGGCGCGATGGAGGGGGCGGCGGCGGGGTTAGGGTTTTGCGGAAGCGTGGATCGTAATTAGCTCTGTTATCATGTAAGACAATGATTTGGGGGAACCAGCTCAACCCTCTAGGGGTGGCTTATCTCTCATATATATAATGGATGTGTTACAATAGGTACAAGTATACGTAGACAAATACAGAAGCTATACAAGTCTAACATGCCTCAGCAACCTCGTCGCCGCGCTCGGTAGCGCAGCCCACGCTCTGGCGGTGCCGTTCAAAATGCTCTGGCAGTGGCTCCAGGCCGCCCCCGCAAGCATCAGTTTCGGCCTCCACGGTCTGGGGCAGCTCATACAAGGCTGCTTCGACAGCCTCGTCGCCGCGCTCGGGAGCGCGCCCCATGCTCTGGTGGTGCCGTTTGAAGCGGTCTGGCAGTGGCTCCAGGCCGCCGCCGCCGGCGTCAGTTCCGGCTTGGACGGCTTCTGGGAGCACATGCAGGGCATCTTCGCCGGCCTTCCCGCCGCGCTCGCCAGCGCTGCCCACAGCCTCGTCCTGCCGTTAGAGTCTCTCTGGCGGTGGGTGCAGAACGCCGTCGGCGGCATCAGCCTCGATCTGGCCGGCTTCTGGCCGCTCGTCCAGCGCTTCGTCGACACGGCCGCGAGCAAGGCCTACGAGCTCGTCCCGGCCTTGGAGGCGTTCTGGCGGTGGCTCAAGGACGCTGCCGTCGTCGCGCTCCCTTACGTGGTGGCCATCGCCGCGGTCGTTTGCGTCGCGGCGCTGGTCTGGTACTGCTATCAGGTCGTCGCGGCCCTGGTCTGTCACTGCTGGCAGTTCCGGTGCACCGCCGCCGTGCAGGTCGCGCCGGCTCTCGGCCGGGTCCTCTGCTTCTGCCGGGACTGCTTGACTGCCGTCGCCACGTGGGTCGTGCTGTCCTGCAGCAGGGTTACCATGGTCGGCCCGGGCGCCGCCGGCGCGCTGATATCACGCACTGCGTTCGCGGCGAACCCGCGGCTCTACTTCAAGATCCTCCGTCTGGCTGGCCCTGTCGTGGCCGCTGCCGTCTTCAGTTCGAGCCCCGTCGCCTGGGTGGTCGGAGCGGTGGTCGGCGTCCTTTTCAGCCTCTGATTATATATTAAGCCTATGTATGTAGTATTTCACGTAATTTGTCTTGTGTGACTGTTGCCTGTAAGATTTCCAAATCCTGTTTCATCGTAAGTATCATCTGCCAACTGATGCTATCGTCGTTATGATAATAATCTCTTGTTAAAGTTCAGAAGAATTTCTGCTCGCGATGGATCTTCACAAACGAAACGACAACAACCAAGGGTACGTACGGAGCAACTTACAGATTAAGCAAACATCATAGTGCGATCTGATCCACACGTTCTTCTTCTTCTTCTTCTTTTTCTTTTTTGAGGGAAACACATTCTTCTTCTTCTTAGAAAGCCATGAATCGTGCTACCAGTTTTCGCCAACCATTCAGGCTTGGCTGAATCATAGTACTCGCACGATGGGATAGCGTTGCATCTTTTGAGAATGAGACTCCTTTCCAAAGTGCTTTGTTCCATCGAAAATGAAATCGTACTCGCAAGTTATGTTGTTCCTTTCTCATTAAAAATGTTTCTTCTTCTTCCCGCAAAAAAAAAAAAAGTTTCTTCCCGCAAAAAAAGGGGGCATATATTTTCTACTCCCTCCGTTCATAATTAACGTGAGCCTATCGTCCAATACTTGATGATACTTTTCAAAATTAACAAAGTTTCCCAAGAGTACGGAAGTCGCTTGACTTGGTAGCAAATACAAAAGTCATCTTGCCATGACACAAATGACAAGGTTGAATGGTTTTGTTGAGTTCCACGATGGGGTTCCTAATTGGCGGGCTTTTGCCAGATCTTGATCACTGCTACTGATCTGGATCACAAATAAACACGAGAAAAAGAAATTGAGCGTGGCAATTTATTACTTATTTTATGATAATAATAAACAAAAGAACCAACATCTTTCAGAATGGCCGCACCTCCTTTTGTTTTTCCGAAACGTAGGCATTGCCTCATCTATTAATTAAGCAGAAGAGAATTGCCCAGTTAATTATGGAAAACTGGGCAAAAACCGGAACAACAAGGCCAAGCCCACTTTCATAGACTGAAACACATAGGGCAAAGCCCACCCTAATCGACGACAAGTCGACTTGCGGCCAGACAACGCAGCTCCGACTCTGACGTAGAACTAAGAAGGACAAAACCAGACACACCTGGCGCCACGGAAGATCGCCGAACGGGCACCTACAGCCAGTCATCGTACACCACAAGGCCCCGCCGTTGCAGCTTCGACTCCACATCAACAAGCAATCCGAGGCAAAACCATGGACACGCCGGAGAAGAGCCAACTACCGCAACCATTGTCACGTCGTCGACATCGCTCCCATCATCATCGTTGCCACAAGAGTCTGGTCGCCACAGAGATTCTCTCGGGGCCGCCGCCCCGACATCCACCGCTTCGTCGCACCCAGCGCAATCAACCGGCACCGCCTTCCGGGGGCGCCGCCCCGACATACCACCGCTCCCCTCGAGCAGCAACGCCGCACAACCCAGCTGCCCGCAGCCCACGCTGCTCAGGGCAACCGCTCGCAGACCACGAATGTCGCACCACATCCGGGGCCGCCTCCCCGACGTAAAGTCGGACCGCCTCCTCTGAGGCGCATCGACCGAGCCGACATCCCTACCGCCCAAGCAGAACAAGAATGCCACCCAACCAATGTCAAGCCAGAGCCCCACCTCATAGAGCTGCCACTCGCATTGTTCCCGAGATCGCCATCTCGACGCACAATCAGAAACCACCCGGGGCCGCTGCCCCGACGTCCACTGTCCCCGTCGACGAAGAGATCCGTGCAAATTGCCAAATGCTGACTCTCCAAGCCGATGCCTCAAAGAAGGATACGACGTAGCCGCCGCAACGCCCGCTTCGACCACCGAAGCTAGGGATTTCTCCTGGAGAGTCGTGAAATGGAGCTCCACGGCAATGCCTTCAAGAAGGGGAGTGACACCATGGCGCCACCGTTGCCGGCACCGACCCAAAGTCGGGGCTAGACTTTCGCCCGGAGCTCCATCACACCTTCGGATCCGAGCAGATCCGAAGCACTGCACAACACACCATCCACATGGTCGACGTCCACCGGCTCCACCTCGTGATGCAGCAGCCGTTGCACCTCTCAAGCGCGCGGACCCGCCAGATCCGCGGTCTCCCCGCCGCCGTGCCTCTGCACGACCCCCTTGCGCTGCTGCCGCGCCTCAGCACGGCCCCTTGCACCGCCGCTGTGCCGCTTGCACAGCCCTGCCCAGGCCACAGATCCACGGCGCACTGCGTTGGGCGTCAGATCCGCACCAGCAGAGCGACCCCGCGCCGCCGCGTGTCTACAGCACGCCTCCAAGCGCCGCCCCCTACGCCTCCTCGCTGCGCGAGTGCTAGCACCGTGCCCAACCCGCGAGCACCCGCTGGAGTGGCCGTCCCGCGCCGCCCCATCCAGAGGAGAAGGAAAGAGACCCCGCCGCCGCCGCGCCGCGCGGGCTTTGCCCGGCAACGCCTGCCGGCGGCGGCGAGGGGAGGAGGGGCGAAGGGGTGTTACGCTCGCGGCGGCTGGGGTTAGCTCCTGGCCGCTCGCGGGAGCGGCCGAGGAGCTCCGAACCAAGGGTCCATTCTCGTCGGAACTCCGCACCTCCTTTTGTGTCGTAGTCCGATTGCAGCGGGTCTCACGCTATCCATGACCCATCTCTTAGGAAACCCGTCTATGTAGGATAATAATAACAAAAAGCAGGCCACACAGCCAGGCACGCCTGGTGACCGCCCAGAAAGCACCCAAATTTAGGTAGAAAATGGCAAAAACTTGAGTTTTTTCAGAATCTGCTCTTTCTCCCTATCCCAGGTGGGATTTAGGCCGGTTTTAGGGAGGTTGCCCAGCCTGAGGCCAGTCTTAGGTACTGCCTTGCAGTTCTCCCAATCTCAAGCGTCCTTTTATTTGGGCATCGTCCGCCTTGCCGTTGTCCGCCGCCAGCATTAGCTCTCTCTACACGGCCTCCCTGCTCGTCCACCTCATCGACGGCTTCGGAGTGGGACGGCGCACACCCCTCACCTCCTCCAGCTCCCGCACTCCCCGTGCCGACAGCCCGTCTCCCTTGAGCTCCCGCCGGCGGACTGCACACACACAGGAGCCGGGGGCAATGCTCTTTAGCCAGAGAAGATCACTCCATGACGTCCCTAGGTAGATGCGTAGGTGAGTACTGAAATTGTGCAACATCCCAGTCTAAACTTCTGGATTCATCCATCCATATATGGAGATGTAGGTGCAGCCACAGACATCAGTATGTGGAGGAGTAGGAAGGTGTCGGCATCGACGGCGGTGCAGGCTCGCTCTGTTAGAGGTGTTGGAGTACCACTCTCATGTTGTGTTGCCATGGTTGGCATGCTCATCTATATATAATCTGCTATACATTGTTTGTGTCCGTATGGCAAAGTCCCCTTTGGAATGTCATTGATTTCAGTTAGCAATCCACTATCTTGTAGCCATGAATATAATTCCCTTCCCTTAAATACCGTCAGACTTGGTTGTGAGATTGTGCCCACATGTTTATTGTGTTATGCTAGCTAATGAGGATTACACTATTATTGTTGATTTCTCTTTTGATACGTGATGGTGGTCAGAGTGAAACAAAACAACAAAATTGGAACTAGTTATATAACTGCTGATGCATCCAGGTCCAGAGGCAGGGTGAGGTACTTAGTCTTGCTAACCATGAAGAAGCTTGTTTGCTAATAATTGTGCAACTTATATGCCATGGTGCACTGATGTTCTATTCAGCGTCTCTAGTTTTCTTCACATATCTTGTAAAATAAATACCTGTATAAGAGTAATGCAAGTTGTTTGTGTTAATGCTAATATATTACGGGACATATTTTATTTGGTGTCAACATTGTGAGCCATTGTTAGCCTGGCATGTTGCACTAGTAGAAAAAGGGACATTAGTCCCGGTTGTGCAACTGAGACTAAGGAATCGGGACTAAAGGGGCTCCGCATGGCCGTTGTGGAGCGCTCAGGCAGGAGGACCATTAGTCCTGGTTGGTAACACAAACCGGGACTAAAAGGCCGCCACGCGTCAGGCAGACGCACTGCCAAGCACTGGGGTTTAGGGTTTATTTTTTGAAAGGAGGGGTTTAGGGTTGTGGAGGGTTTAGGGGTTTCATATTGTGTTTACCTTTTCTTTTTGTAGTGTATCCCTTTTCTTTTTGTGTTTACCATAAAAAAAACATTTAGGGTTTTCATTTTTATTTCATATTTTCCATTCAACTCGATGCTAACTACTACATATAGCAATGAAGGAACCATTACACAACATCATTATGAATATACAGAAGTGACGTCTCTTTCTCCGTGCTTGGTCGAAAAATAAGTTTTCGTATATATATTCGACGCTACTACATGTAGTACACGTTCATGCATATATACAATATAACATCTCTTATAATTCCTAATATCTAGTTACCAGAATTCCCTACCAATTCCCGATGTTTTTAGCTATGATCTCTTCAAGTAAGAATCCCGCCAATTCCTCTTGAATTGCTCATATGCGTTCCTTTGGTAGGAGTTCGTCCCGCATCCGACGGATCTAATTTAAAGAAGCGGGTCTATATATATGAGTGAAATTCAACACAATTGATGGTAATAAAATAAAATTGTGAATATTGTTTACGTACTTGAAGTTGTTCTAAAATTCTGCCCTTCTCATAGGCCGTCTGGCGAATGAATTCGCAAACGTAGTATCCACATACTATTCCCGTCTCCCTGCCTCAAGCACTTTATGAGAATAGAGTTCAATCAAAATAATAATCAATCATGATAATGGTATTGTAACTAGAATCAAAGAGGGATGCATGGAACTAGCTAGTACTACTTACATTGAGTTGTCGAAATCGCAACTCCTCTTTCCATTCACCCCTAGTCTGCTTGGTGAACTTTTTTCAAACCCTGTCTGGCAAAGAAAATGAATAAATGAGTTATTAATTACTTGATATCAGGAAATGAACGAAAGTTGCCGATGTAGTGTGATAATGATTGAACTCCTCTGGAGCATTTCACT